ATTTTTCACCGTTGCTTCAATCAAAATAATACCATTAATTCACATAAAAGTTTTATAGTCGTCTTCGGCTCGTATTCATTGAACGCTTGATGGATTATATTACTACTGGAGCAATTTACAGACATTACTATGGAAATGTGCATATCATAATTTCAATTAGTTATTTTCGTATAGAAGTGATTGGAGAATAGAAGTAGTCATTTTCAAAATTTGAAGAGCCATCTAGCACAACAATGTATAGTATCCAAAAATCATATTTACGAGAATATAATATTAAATTATATATTACAATCAAAGTAACTACGCCACTGGCACACATTCTCAAGATCTCGGAACAGCGTTGCCATTCTCTCGGGAATCCTTCATGACTGCGATCAGCCCGTCTTGTTCCCACTCGCAGAGAACAAGAAACGAATGTCTGATTCTGATCTTTTTCTTTTTATGAATGAAATGCCGGGTCTACTTTATTTAGAGGTCATTGGTGTACACCTATTCCCACGTCGCAACACGTGGGATAGCGTGGCATCGCGTGGCATCACGTCTGGTGTTGACTAATGGGGTCCCGGCTTTAATGGCCTTATATCAATCAAAAATAGTAGATAAAATAGTACTTTAATCGCAAGGGTAGATTAAATGATACTTAACAGCGAGGATAGGTTAAAAACATTATTGCTTCTCTTCCTCTCTTTATTATTTATTTCTTCTCGCACGTTTTTAATTGCTTCCATTTTTGAAAATTTTTGGATTCCTTTTCATAAGTTATTCGAGGTTTAAATGGAAGTAGTTTGGATATGGCGTTTGTCGCCTCAGCCTGAATATCTGTTGGTAATTTACTTATTTCGTTTTGAGCCATTTCTGGCTCCAATTCAATCAGCAATCGACACGAAAGAGAATTAAAAAATATTGACTCAAAACTGACAACTAAAAAGACAGCTTTATTTATTTGTCAAATTACATAGAAACAAACGCCAACCCAGCACAATATTTTTTCTACTCGTAATAAATTCCTTGAAATAATAATTTCTGAATATTTTTTAAAACGTAAATCGCTATGGAAAAAAATACTGTTTTATACACGACAATAAAATTGCATTATCGGCTCTCGATATTAATTCATTCGCGATTGGTCGCTACAACCAAATAAAATACCATTTTATCATCTTGTATAAAAAATAACCATTTTATATCGTCAATCACGTCGCAAAAATTAATACTTTTGTGACGTTTGAAAAAAGACGTAATTTATAAAATCAAAAATTTCTTCGTCTTGCTTTCTTATCAAAGAAATGACAGTTCAATGTCAAATATTGAACCTAGGAAAATTACAACTATTTTTTTCAACTATCTATGGATTGTGCGTAATTTTTTTTCCGATAATATTAGTGAAATATTTCTAATAGGAATTGAACTAGTTGTTTGGCAAAAATGCGATCGTTCTACAAAGGTCAAGCGATTGTCTATCGAAACCCATAAAAGATAATAGGTTAATTAACTTGACATTGAAATTATTGCCCACTGTACAAGCCTACGGCAGTTTTTTTACAAGCTGATTGATGTATAGAGGCAAGTTTTTTAGTTTATTTTCTTTTAGTTTTTGGTGTTTACGATTGGTATTTTTAAATTTTAATTTCTCTTTAACTTATTATAAATATTAAACAATAATTGGTATTCATCGTTATCTTTGCATTTCAACAAATATTTTTTTAAATTATTAAATATAAAAGTTGTCTGTAATTATTGTTTTTTTTTTCTTCTGAGCAAATTTACCAAAATCTCTTCATCAAATTTACCCACTTTTTCTAAAACTATCTAAGCGATAGACAATACAACAATTAATATTATTTTTTAATTTGGTTTTTTCGATAAGCTAATAATGACAAATGACTTTTTAATAATACACAGACTGTCTGACAAACAAAAATTTGAATAATTTCGCAATTTTGCTAAAAAACTAGTTACACAATATTTTACGTGTCTCTTATGTAAGAACAGAAGAAAGAAAGTCTACGAAAACAGTTTAATTAGCGATAAAAATTCATTCAATTTGAGAAAAAAATTGTAAAGGATGGCAGGAAATTGTAGAGAGAAACAAGCCCTATAACATAGCATACAACATTTTGATGAACAGTGCTTTCCATAAAATCAATAAAATGAAAAATGTACGAAATAATATACATGTACTGATTTCTTTCGAAAATCGACAACTATGAAACTATGAACCCTTCCCAGACACAAACCGTACATTGTGAGACAGGAAACTGTAGAGAGAAACAAGCCCTATAACAAAGCATACAACATTTTAATGAACAGTGCTTTCCATAAAATCAATAAAATGAAAAATGTACGAAATAATATACATGTACTGATTTCTTTCGAAAATCGACAACTATGAAACTATGAACCCTTCCCGGACACAAACGGTACATTGTGAGACAGGAAATTGTAGAGAGAAACAAGCCCTATAACATAGCATACAACATTTTGATGAACAGTGCTTTCCATAAAATCAATAAAATGAAAAATGTACGAAATAATATACATGTACTGATTTCTTTCGAAAATCGACAACTATGAAACTATGAACCTTTCCCGGACACAAACGGAACATTGTGAGACAGGAAATTGTAGAGACAAACAAGCCCTATAACATAGCATACAACATTTTGATGAACAGTGCTTTCCATAAAATCAATAAAATTAAAAATGTACGAAATAATATACATGTACTGATTTCTTTCGAAAATCGACAACTATGAAACTATGAACCCTTCCCGGACACAAACGGTACATTGTGAGACAGGAAATTGTCGAGACAAACAAGCCCTATAACATAGGATACAACATTTTAATGAACAGTGGTTTCCATAAAATCAATAAAATGAAAAATGTCTGGCGCAAAAGGTTTTTAAACTTATTCTGATAATGAAAAATTATGTCGAAGAAATTTAGCCCATGTAATTTGAAACATCCTGTATAAAGTGTGCTTAAACGATATAACGGCTATTTCAACTTTCTCCGGTACTTTCACCATTCAAGTTTGTTACCTTTACCTTCTCATCGATATTAAAACTATAAAGTTAACATTACATGAAATAAAAATCTCATAAATGATAAATGTATTCAATAAATATGTCAATAAATCTTCATTTAAATATCAAAGATCCTATAAAAAAATTACAGGATCTCTAGGAATATGTTACATTATTTAGATCCTCTCTTTGTAGTTGGGGGCATTGTTGTCTATTGTTGGCTATTTAAGTTGATATCTCCACTGCAGAGAGAGACATTTTTTGAGTTTTACAAAGGATGCTCTGGCTATTTCTATTCGAGCTTTTATTTCTACTGATTGATCCAAGTTTTCGGTCAACCAACTGCCTAGATATTTATGTTTTTGTATTCTTTCCGTGGTGTATCATCTATTAGAACATTGGCTTGGACATCTTCTCTCTTAGTGATTATCATAAATTCAGTTTTCTTAAGGTTCATTTTCAGGCCATAGACTCTTCACGTGTTGTTTAGTCTCCAATTCTTAATAACTAACAAAATGTCAATGCACACGTTAAATTTTACCTTTAAATATTTATTGTCAAGTAAACAATAAAAGTGCCGAGGTTACTTTGAATTATCACTGATTTTATAGTTTGTTTAAAATAGACAGCGAGAATTTTTTCAGGTTAAACTATAGATTTTTTTTGATTATTCATCGTCTAGATGCCTTGACATAGATTTATAATTAGAAGAGATGCTTGTAATACAGTTTACCTCTCACTATATTTTAAGATATATCGGGTGTTTCTTAAAAGTGGCTCACCCATATAACTTTTTCTTTTTTTCATTTTAGTGTATGACATCTTAAATCAGGATCGTTTGACGTACTCAATTATTTTCGGTCACTTCCTGTTTCACCGGAAATGACCACAACTTTTGATTTTTCGGTAATTTTTCACTTTATTTGATAGAAAATAAGATTCTGAATAGAATGGCATATAATATGTCAATTTTTGACATTTTTGAATATGGTTTATTTGAAATTTGACTCGAAATTCCAAGTGTGTGGTACCAAATTATTCGTAAAAATGCTTTTTCCCAAATATCGTCGGTGAAATGTGATAAACTGCTAACTTCATTATTCCTAATTTTACAGGAGAGCAAAAAAACAGTACAAAAAAATATGTACACATGTAGGAAGTATTTTAATGTATTAATATGCTAAATAGATAAGAATTTTATTTGCTGGGGAACAATAAAACTCAATATTTCGTGTTACTTAATTTTTTTCAGACATAATAGGGAGATAGCAGATTATGTTTCTGGAGATAGCAACCTTTATTTTTTGAAATTTTGAAAATGGAATAATTGAATATTACCCAAACAGATTTAGAAATAATAAATTAAATTTAAAAAATATGATATTAATAACCATATATTTGTAATATTGTCGGTCTAGAAGCAAAACATACATGTCCAAAAACTAAAAAATTTTAATGCATTTTTAAAGAACTAAAGTAGCAGCATTTTGCACTTACTTAATGAATATAAAAATAATTTAAAAATTAAACTTATAATTCTTAGGAGATATGGAAGGATTCTACCATATCTCCTATTAGATAGACGTCGGGTATTGAAATGATAAATATATATAGATAATAATGTATATGTCCCAATATTAGATGACTGGGAGTTTGGTTTGGTTGTTAAAATAGCAAAGTTTCTTTAATGGGAAAAATATATTTGCGTTCCCTGCTTATAGAGTATTTTTTTCTCTTTCTAATGGTATAAAAAAACGTACTAACATAAAAAATGGAGTTTGTAGCATTTTCATTTTCCAAATGCTACTTTGTTTTATTATAGACGGTATTTTATTATTGTATCGATATTCTTTTTACAGTTCTACAACACATAAATTTCGGAACGCTCTCTATCGAAAATATTGGATCGTACCCTGGTTTATCGACAAGACGGGAAACGTCAAAATCGTCACCTCGGATTTGGCCCTTACCGAGGTCACTGTGCCATTTTGAGAATTAAATTTATTTGGCTAATATTTTTCACAATATGGGAAGGATATTGCGATTTTGTTGTCCTATAGATGGATGAAGGTCCCATGTAGATTTTGATTGTTGAGATTTTAATGGATCTATAGTTTTGGTAAGATTTTCTTTGACATTCCATTCGGTAGAAAAAACCTTCACATACCTTTCTTTTAGATTCCAGTTTTTTTGATGAGAAGTGTCCAGCCCTTATTTGAGAAGAAATGTTAAATAATTATTGATTGTGTGCCTTCACTATGAGGTAAATTAATACCTTCGTAAATTTTTCGAGTTTTTTAAAATGTAAGGTTAACTAATACCGTGCATTTCTTTTTAGGTTTTTCTACAGATTTTTTTACGTATTTTTCTCAACGTTTTTCTTTGGATTTTTCTGCAAGTATTTCGAGACGTTTTTCTACAGTTTTTCTGCACTTGTGTCTAGAAGTTTTTCACCAAGTTTTTCCACAAGTTTTCTTACGTGTTCAGTCACCGAAGTAATCAGTAGCAGCCTCTTCGGTTAGATTTCAGCCCTGCACCCCTCTAAGGAAGTGTTGGATGCTGTGATGTTTTTGTATTATTAAGAAGATCCTTTTTTTAGTATAATTTGTTATACAAGGCCAGTATATATTTTTATAGTAAACTAAACTTTATTAATTTGATTTTAAATAATCATTAGTGTGTTAAGAAATTAACTGTTCTTAACATTTTACATTTAACCGGTTAAGTACTTGCCTTCAGCATTACTTTAACCCTTAATTTATAAAATTTAACATTCTGTTACATTTTATATATTTTTTTAACACTTAAGTATTTGCCTTCAGCATTGCTTAAATTTTACTTGTATTTGATTATTAAAATAATCATGTTAGATTGATTGATTATTCAGATTCAACATCTATTTATGTTAACCTTTTATATCATTACGATCTTTGACCTGGAAGGGCAATCTTGGGTACAGATTTTAATCTTTTTCCCTTAACTATATATAAACAAAAAGGTTCATGAATCTTCGTAATAAGTCAATTGAAATTTAGATATTCAATATTCGAATAAAACCAAGACCGTCTCTAAAAGTATTCTTTTTATATTATAATTGTTTGAATAATATCTGAAAGGACATAATTTGATTTTCAACAAGTTTTAAGATAGAGTTTCTTAAATATAATTCTTGTATATTAATGTACATAACTGCTGTGCCGAATAGGTACCGAATATTTCTAACAAGTAATAAATCTTATTTTTTTGGGTATTTGAATTGTTTCATTGGTTGATCCAGTTTCTCAAAATATTTAATAGCTATACTAATTTTAGTTTCTATTCAATTAATACACTTGTACAAATTTTCTTATTTCAGTTTGTACTATCCTTTTAAGTATTAGAATCTTTTTGAAATAAGTGGCGCCCTTTGGTATGCAGTGTAAGGTATAGGTGGGTATCATTTTTTTAGTCAAGTGCGGAAGCAAAAGCTTGTTCCCACCGCCTCCGATATAAGAGTAGCCGTTCGCAATATTTTGACTTAAATTTTCAATAAAAGGAAAGTTTATGTCACAAGTTTAGCACGTTATCACGTTTCACCGGCGAATATGTTAATGAGCTGTGATTAAAAATACAATTTGGGCAAATTTTAACCAGCCAGGACAAGAGATAAAAAAACATTAGACGATCAAATCTATTTTTTTCAAGGCTCCTTGATTAATTAGTCCACTGCCGTTCTTTAAAAGATCAGCCTGGGGGCGGACTTTTGTTTACTTCATCAGCTGTACATACTTAGATATTGGGTTAGATTCCGTTTCATATTTTGTCGGTTGATTTTTGGTATTATTTATTATTGTAGTGCCAAAAACTAATTATTTTGCTGTTTAAGTGACATAAACTACTACCAGATATATGGTCACTCTCGGTTTCGCATAAAAAAATAGAAAAATTGAAAAATTACACGTTGTGTAAGTGATTTAACCTAAAAGTGCCCATACATTTTGTACTCATCGTGATTTTTGTGTGTGTTTTTTAAGACTCTAACAATTCATCAATAAAGCTTAAGTGGAGTGTGTTTTTGGTGCTATGCCTCATCTTTGTTGTGTTCCTGGTGGAAAGGATAGTTATGCTAGGCAGCCTAAAGTGTCCGGAAGAGCAAGAAAAGTGGGTACGAGTTATAAATCAAGAGAATTCTATTGAAAATATCTTTAATAAATTTAAAAATAATATTCTCCCATGATAGTATTAATGAAAACTGGACAATTATGTTTATTTTATTCATATTGTGGAATCCCATTCCAAGTGTTGTTGGTTCAGCTTCTCGATAGATTCAAACACCTAAGTAGGTATTATGATCTAGGGAAAATAAAGAATATGTGTATTAAAGATCATGAAAAAGATTATTATTTTGAGTTCAAATTTTAAAAAAGATTTTTGTAAAGACAAGACTGATACAGTTTAAAAAGAAGAATGTGTTTTGTTTGATAATATATAATGTATGTCAAGTTGTCAAGCATAACATACATTTTTGTTCAGTAATTTTTAATGAATAGTGTTGATTATTTATAATGCCAAATTAATATCAAATATTTAAGTGATGGCTGAATACAATATGAATAAAATAACAATAAAATTGGTATATTTGCATAATACAAAATTAAGTTTTAAGAATAAAGGTGTTACTAAAAATACTTAGAAATTCATATTTCTTTGTTTTAATTGGTCTAATGTTATTTACATTTTACGTAAGAATTATACCGTATCATCGAAAAAAATCGGCGTCTAGTTGGCTTGGAAATGAACATCGATGACATTCCCTAAATAACTGTACACATAAAATAATTAACTAGAATTTTACAATCTTGGAAAATTTGATATTCTTGAGCCTTGTTTCTAAATATTCTAAATTTTTTGATTTTCTTGGGATTTAGGTTCAGGGAAAAAACGCTGATTGAAGTTTTCATTTGGTTTTCATTATTTTTTATTTGGTTTAAAAAAAAACGTTTCGGCTAACATTATAGCCTTCATCAGTGTTGTGTCATATGAAAAAAATAGTGTCGAATATAATCCAAAAAATTACATATAAAATATTCACACCACACACATAATGTTTACTGCGTACTCCATAGTCAATGTAGATAATTTTATTGTTAAGAATAATAATTTTAAAAAATATGTAGTCATCTTTTGATAAGTTTATATTAGTTTATTAATTGCAGTAAACATTATGAGGTGTGAATTATATTGTATATGTAATTTTTTGGATTATATTCGACACTATTTTTCTCATATGACACAACACTGATGATGGCTATAGTCAGCCGAAACGTTTTTACCAAATAAAATAATGAAAACCAAATGAAAAACTAAAATCAACGTTTTTCCCGAACCTAAAAAATCCCAAGAAAATCAAAAATTTTAGAATAAATTTATATAAAATGCCAGCGATCTTCATTTCATAGCCATCGCTGACGTCTTTTTAGATAATATTGTATTATTTGTAAATATAATTTTTCGAACATTGATATTTACCAAAATATACATATAAATTTTGTGAATGCAAATAATAATACATCACTATTAGTAGATATTGAATGTTTTTGTTAAATTAGATCGATTTTCAAACCCCAAAATTTAAAATATATTTACATTATATACCCATTATCTTATGTACCTATACATTATTTGTACATTGTAAAACATTTGCTGCATTTGTATGGTTCATAGTTTATTTGCCAAAGTATTTATTACTATAAATAGGTATATATGTTGTAGTTATTAACTGTATATTATGTATATTTCATGTAAACTATATCATTTTTAAAATACAAACCAAAAATCTGAGGAATAATTATGTTTTCCATGTATTCTACAACATATAATTTATTAATCCGTTATATCTAACTAGCGTGACGTCATAAATCTCGCCCGTGGGCTGATCTTTTAATAGAAGGCACTGATTAGTCATTTTAAAACAGCCACGGCTCTCTGGATTGAAATTTAAAATACTATTTTTTAAGCGAAAATGTCAAAAATTAATATTTGAAAAGTCAATCTATTCAGAATGTTATTTTCCAAAAAACAAAGTAAAAAAATATCGAGGGTATCATTTAAAAATCACAGTTGTAGTCATTTTCGATGAAACAGGAAGTGGCCGAAAAGAATTGAATACGTCAATCTATCCTAATTTATGCCGTATACTAACATACCAAATCTCGTTTTTTTTTATCTGAAAAATAAAAAAATTATATGGGTGAGCCGCTTTTAAAAACACCCGTTATATAAAGAATATTTTACACAAAGTTAAATGGAAGAATTAAAAAAAGAATGTCTGAAGAATATGTGTCTAAAAATTATATAGAATACACAAAAAGAGATATATGATTATCTGCGTGATTAAAAGTATACAAATTAGTAATTTAATTGCCAATACTGCTGATAACAAATTATATGGAGCTGATTTAATTAACATCTACACGTGCTAAATGTTGCTAAATTAGTTTGTTTAGTAATTATTAGATAATTTTTTTAATTATTAGTTGATGATATCAAAACATGAAATTATAAATATGGCAAATAAATTATCCTAACACTAAAAACAGTAAAAAAATATTAATTGAATAATTTAAAATAAAGAATGTGTATAAACATTCTGCTTGTTCTATATACTGGTTAAGTTTGTTTATACTTTTCCAAATTTCCATACCGTTTTAGAGAAAATTAAAAAAAAACATGAAGATATGGCAATAAATTTAAAAGAAAACAGTTTTCTACAAACAAAATTTAAAAGAATTTTGTGCAGTGTTGCCATTGTGTAATTCATATCGTAATACTTCCTGATAAAGCCTACCTTCAAATTTGCTACATCATTTAAACATATTAAAATAGATCAGAGCTGTTTTTTTCAGTTTGCCATGTTAGTTGGAATTAAATCTTATGAGCTAAATTACAATCACTTCCTGACGTTAGATTGTATAATTGAATCCTGAATTTTCATTGTAATTCGGCGACAATATAATAAGTATTGTTCTACTATTATGATACCACTTCCTGACGTTCGATTGTGTTCATACCAAGTTCATATTGTATAATCGGGAAAAAACGGCGTTAGCGATAGCTATGAAATTAATATCACGGTCATTTTATATGTAAATTTATATGGGAAATGTCATCGATCGTCCTTTTCCAGCCAACTTGAACGCCGTTTTTTTCAGAAGCATATCAAGTGATACCATATATAGTACTATATTACGATACATGGCGTTCGATTGGGCTTAAACTTGGTATACTATATCTTCAGTGACATTGTAATATCATGGTACCATGGAGCATATAAAGTGGTACCTTCTATAGTACCATATAGCAATATTAGGTACATGGCGGCAATAGGGCTTAAACTTGGTATACTACGTATTTTCGGTGACATTGTAATATGATGGTACTATGATGCATATCATCTGGTACCATAATATAGTACCATATTATGTACATGGCATTCGATTGGGCTTAAATTTGGGATACTACGTATCTTCGGTGATATTGTAATATTATGGTACCATGGAGCATAATAAGAGGTACCATAATATAGTACCATATTACGATACCATTTCCTGGCGTTCGATTGGGCTTAAACTTGTTATACTACGTATCTTCGGTTACATTGTAATATGATGGTACTATAATGCATATAAAGTGGTACCTTAATATAGTACCATATTTCAATACCATTTCCTGGCGTTCGATTGAGCTCATATTTGATATATACTTGCGTATTTTTGATGACATTGCATTATTATGGTACCATGAAGCATATCAACTGGTACCATAATATAGTACTATATTACGTACATGGCGTTCGATTGGGCTTAAACTTGGGATACTACGTATTTTCGGTGACATTGTAATATGATGGTACTATGATGCATATAAAGTGGTACCTTAATATAGTACCATATTACGATACCATTTCCTGGCGTTCGATTGTTCTTAAATTTGGTATACTATGGATCTTCGGTGACATAGCAATATTATGGTACCTTAAAGCATATCGAGTGGTACCATAA